TCGACGTTCAACGATGATGAATCAACATTCAGAATCTGTTTTGAGACCCTCCACAGCGTAGAGCCAGGAAAAAAAATCTGTTATGAAAACCTTTATTCTGATCAAAACCTTAGAACTGGACTTTAAGTTGCCTAAATACTCTAAAGAAGAGCAATGAGAAGAATCTTGAAAAACGGAAATAAATGGCAGATAAATAAGAATTCATATTTCCAATTAAAAAACATTAAAGATTAGTATTTAAAATGATTTCAACATCAGTTGGTCTTTTATTACAAAATACATTTATATTCCTGGAATCCCTTTTTTGCTACAACTTTTTAAATTCTAACTTCAGAAACAGAAGCAATAAAACACAACTAAATAACAGTAAAATAATTATTTAATTTCACTACAAACTGAACAAAATTGTGAGGTAAAAGAAGCATGGATGCACATTTCCTGATAAATTCAGAAATGTTTTCTTAAAAACTGATCCTCGGATCATTAAATCTGATGATTTTTTTAATTGTTTTGGTTTCAGAGGAGTTTTATATGAAGCTGAAAATCGGGCTGCAGATGATGCAATGCAAACTATTGTTCTAATGGGTTTTCTGAACATCAAATCTGACCTTCTGATCCAGAAGAGTTTTGGTCTCAAACAAAAAGAAGTTCTGATGTTGCTGTTCAGCTAATTTATCTGTTTAACAGCAGCACCTCCGAGCCTCTCGGCTTTCATCCATAAAAAAAACAAACAGCGAAGCGTCTGCCTCCGTAAGATCCCGGTTCTGGTTCAGTGGTGTGTGACCGGGAACAGACAGATCCCTGTAGCTCCGTCCTCTTTGGGAAAATCATCCGGATGTCAGCTGACCACATGACAACCCGTTCTGCTAGAAGGCACACAGACTGACGGATCTCCGTCCTTGAAATCATCTCACAAACCAAAGTATTTAAATGGACCTTCAGGGAAAAAAACTTGATCAATTCTGCCGTTTTTGATGTTGTTGTTGTTGTTTTTTTTTTTAGAAGCAGCTAAATACAGCTAAATAAAACTTTATATAGAGAAGATTTGACTCTGAAGGCTTTGCTGCCTAATTAATATATAATTTTATGTCATTTGTTTATCGTGAATCTTTCAGGCATTTAGACAGAGATGGTTTCTAAACAACTAAACTAAGTGTTCTTGTTAATATGGCATGGATGATAAACCTTTCTACTGTGGCCTACATGTCTGTGATACTGGTCTAAACTGGAAATCAGAAGATCTTCCACACAAAAACAAGTGACTTCATCCGGAAAAGCAGAGTCAGATGTTTCCAGATGTTTCATAAGCTTGAAGACAATCAGAAAAAAACATGTCTGGGTTCTAACCTTCTGACCCAAACTGTGCTTCTTAGAAGGAAGGAACATTTTTGTTGTTCAGGAACTTCTCAGGAACCACAAAGTTCAACCCTGGTAGAAACTAGTTGGAGCACCAGTGTACCCTCCCACAGTGGGACCAGCTTAACACCAACATGGGCTCAGAGGGTTCTGATGGACCTCAGGAGGCAGGATTTAATGTTTGGTTTGTTTGTTTTTTACTTTTAAAAGAGAAGAATGATTGAGATAAATCATCAAAAGACTATTCATTAAGACAATTATTCTGGTTTATTCACCCCGTTTCTCCTGCATATATCATTTAAGGTGTTGACTGAAAACCAAAAAAATTTATAAAATCGATGAAATCTTATAATTATTTCTTTAATACGCAGACAAATAATAATAAAACATTTTTTCAGATGAATTTATGAATTTCATTTTTATAGTTTAGTGACTAGCATTAACTTTTCACATTATTACAAAGTAAAATATCAACATGATTTTTTTGTGGTGTAGGTACTGTAGGTGTAAATGTGTCACTTAATGTAAATGTATTAATTTATGTATCATTAGACTGATCAACCTATGTATCAGTAGGTTAAATGTTTATTCATGTTCTCTGCACTGCCATTCAGGGATCTGCTGATCAGCTCTGCAGCAGCGATCTGCATACAGGCCTGTAGCTGCACCCCCACAGATACACAACAAAGAGACTTTTAGCAGGAACCAAAGTTAGACACAAGGAGGGGCCCATAGACCCCCTATAGGGACAAAGTCAAAGCAGAGTTTCAGCAGCAGCCTCTTCCTCATACCTCCAGCATAATTTTCATCACAGAAAGCTGGGAGCTAAAAGAGCTTCCCAGGAGAAAGTCGGATCCCTCAACAACACCGAGGGAAAAGCAACAGGGATGCTAAAGGCACATGAAGCAACGTTTCAACCCAGAAATTCCTGAAAAGATGCAAAAACTGGAGCATAAATGACTTCCCTTTTCTAAAACATTAAAATGATTTTCTGGTGAATTTAAAAACAAGGTTTACACAACGTTTTATTTTCACTTTTAACTCCAGCCTGTGGTGGTGAGGAGGAAGCTGAGCTTAAAGGTGAAGGTCGAGGTTCTTCCAAGCATCACCAAGGATCAGAGGAAATGGATTCTGATTGGAAAAAACAGAACTTTGATATAAATGAGTCTAAATGAGCTTCCTCTGCAGGGCAGCCAGACTCTACAACAATGAGGAGGTGAGGCGCTCCTCCACATCTACACCAACTAAAGCCTTGCTTACATTGTATGATTTTTTTGCCCTTTTCGGTCTGATTCTCCAGTCGTGCCAGAATATTTCGATCGGGCCGCCTCTCAGCCTGATCCTACATCATGTAGTGTACAGGGAGTAATGGGGGGCGATAACCCTCTCACAAACACCTCACCATCAAGAATTGTAAGGTCGGGAGAAAATCAAACCTTGGATTTTTCCAGGAATACTTGGAGAGTCACTGAGCAGAGGCTGTGACCTTCACTGAAGATCTCCACCACTGTCAGAGTCTTGGTTTGTTAGTTCCTGTTTTTCTTGGTTTTCCATTTGTTGTCCTCTGCTGCCCTCATGTGTCCTCTTTCCCTTGCTCTGTTTTCTGTCACCTGTTTTCAATCCCCTCGTTAGCTCTCTCTTTGTCTCTGTCCCCTTTAAAAGCCCTCCCTCTTCAGTTCCTGTTTGCTGGATCCTCGTCTAACTTCTGTCTGTGTTCCTCGTCTCTCCCTGGCTTCTAGTTTTGGTTTTCCCCTGATGTCTGCTTGGTTCAGGTGCGTTAGTAGTTTTCTGTTGGACTTTGATTCCTGCCCTTGGATCTGAGAACTTCAATAAACCGACTTTAATTCACCTCTGCCTACTGGTTTCTGCATTTGGGTCCTCCATACAAACACCGCCTCATGACAACCAACATGATTTACCCCCTAATTAAAGTCCAGAGGGGGTTAAAAACAGTCCAAACTGATTTCAAAATCAGCAGAAATGACTGAGTGACATGAATCAGCATCTCCAAGCTGCATCACTTCATCAATCTTTCCATCTTTGCTCCTGTTGGTGATCTGTGTGCTGCTGTTCAGTAAGCTGGTGAGGCTGGCAGGATGTTCTTTGATGCCTGTGATCTATCTAGATGTCTTTTTAAAGTCTGCTGATCCCATGGTTCAATCTAACGAGCACTTCAAAAGACCGACAAATGGAATTACAAAAAATGTTTCTCTGATTCTTTCCAAAATGGATAAAAACCTACAACAACCCTGACATTTCTCCAGACTCCCACATGAAGCTGAAATGGGGATAAACCAGCCTTTAAAATGTATCCCTGTAGTCTGTTAGCTTAAACCCTCAATACAATGAAGAAATATACATATTTAGGAATCAGGCTAAAATCTGGATTTTACATCTTGTTAATTTATTTCTAGAATTAAATCAGTGATGTCCAACATATCTCAGTTTAGTTGTTTAAAATCTATAAATGTGTCCTGGAAATGCAATAGGTCTAATAACAGTTTCAGAATAACAGAGCTGACAAAAAATGGGTAGATAGAAAAAAACATCACATTTCTTCCTTTACTAAACCCCGCCCCTTTTCAGCCACCAATTCATCATGTCATTCAATGACATCCCTGTTTCTTTGTCCTTATTTCCTTGAGTCCCTTCAGTCCACCTTGGTTTCATTACACAATACCTCAACCATGATCAGTTACAGAGGGGACATTTCATCTAGCATCTCTTTAAAATACTTTTATTTTGGTTAAAAATACAAATTACAGCCAATCAAATAACAACTAAACCAGATGTAAAAGCATCCCAGCTTGAAAACATCCGCTTCCCAAGAGACTCTGAGGAGCAAGGACCCTTCGGGGGATGTAGTAGAGGTGTTTTCAGGTGGGAAGGTATGACTAAATGATCTAAGGACCTAAAATAATCCATGCTAATAGATATATAGAACAGTAACCTGAAATATAATTAGGAATATTCAATTGCAGCAGCCAACCCCCAACTGATAGAGGGCAGCACTAAGAGGGGTTTCAGACCGAGTATTGCAAGAACTAGTTTATAGGAAAATGTCTAAATTTTCACTGTAACATAGAGATAGCAGCCTTAAAGGGTAAATCACAACGTTCACCTGCTTTACCAACCAACACCCTCATGATGTCCTCAATCAGGGCTCATGTCAAACTAAAACATCTACAGCTTTTTTTCTCTCAGCCTGTATCTTTTCTAACAGACTGAATTACATTTCTTAACATTGTTTATGCACAATGTTTGTGTCTCTAACGATGTGATTAATTATTTGTCTAATCAAGGGAATCACAGCTCTGCACTTTTTGCACAGCAGAAGCAGATTTTTTTAGGCTTTCTTTATTTATTTCTTTATCTTAAATTCATAAAAATATTTTCAAAACTCTTATTCTTGGTTTCTGAGCATAACCCAGCCTTAATAGGCCTTTCCCTGTTAGAAAAAAAACCCTCTACTATAACTAAGTTGTGCTAGATCGGGCTAAAAGTCTGACTTTTTTAATTTTAGAAAATAAGATAAAAACTTTCCAGTTCAACAAAATGTTTCTTAGTGTTCGGTAAGAACTAAAATGTCTCTACTTTTACTCGTACTCCATTAGAAGAAATCTGGGATAGGGGACAAATATTTTCCTATAATTAAAAGTCTAAACTAAAATTCATTGAAATAGATTTTTAAGAGAAGGTATAAATATACTGAGTTGGTATAAACTGGATTGATAAAAGTAGATTTTCTTTTCTAAATAGGATTAAAGATAAGTGGGTATTACTTGAAAAAGCTGTGTCTTGAAAAGAGCTTTGTTGCAATTTTTAAAAATTTGACAGTTAAAAATCCTATTTAGATTTTTTTTTTCAATGAACAAAACAATCAGCTATCAGTGAATATTAAACAGAAAATAAAAAAAACAACTGTTTTAGATACGTAATGCTAGTTATTGCAATATTAATATGAGAATACCTAGATAAATACTGCAAACCAGTGACAAGGATATAAATCAGCCACTGGAAGTAAATTCTATACTGTATGCAACACATTACCAAGGCGTTAAACTTGTTGAAATCCTCTGATTATGCATCCCTGAGAATTAAGGGAATAAATACATAAAGAATGTGTGTGAGGATGAATGAGGTCCTGTAATCAGAACAAACAGTTCAGTGATTTTCTGCTCCCAGCAGATTCTTTCATGCAACTGCTTTGATTTTCAATCCAGGTCATTAATAACTCCTGAATGAGACAGCCTTTGAACTAGTAGCCAAACAGAAACAAACAAAAAAAAACAACCTTATGATCATCCTCTGGTCGCTCACCTGGTTTCCAGCCAGCAGCACAGTACCTGGAGTCTGACTGGGCCGGTATGGAATGGTTGCCCCCTTTGGTGGAGACTAGAGAGAAATACATGAGAAAAAATGAGAGCAGAAAGTTCATTAAACATGTACAAATATTCATTCCTCAGTTTTCTTTTTATGCCACAGCTTTTTACACTTCAGTACCCGATGCAGAAAGTGTCAGTTTCTGCTACACAACAGCAGGTTTTACTGCATATGACTCATTTTAGTTGAAACATGACCCCCTCCACCAAAAAAAAAAAAAAAAAAAAAAAAAGAAAATCTACTGCTGCTGTGTTTTCTGTTTGCCTTCACTTGGCTCAAAGATGCATTTCTTTGTGTTCCAGCCTGCAGGTTTTCAGTTACCGGTAAAATGAAACAATCCCACTGGACATGCATACGGGCCGGGTGTTTGTGTCCTCTTCATGGTCACACACATCAGAACCGAGGCTGCAGCTCAGTGTCGTTGGGTTAACAGTCAAACTATTCTTTCTCTTTTACTTTTATCTGTATCCTTCACCTCCATCTCAGACGGCATGTTTTCTATTCCAAAATAAATCAAAGACTTGGATGGTTGCTCAGCTCCATTCGGTTTTCTTTCTCTCGGGGTGACTGATGTAACCAGGGAACATCTAACAAACATCCCTGTTTCAATGCATCATTATAACCAGTCATAAACTGGCTTTGCTTCTGTGTTTGGCTCTGAATGTTCAACGTGTTCAGAGTCACAGTAGTTCATAGGGTGCTGGTTGTGGATAGGCAAACAAAATTTTTGCATCTTTTACAGATTTAAGTTCCTCACAAAACACTTAAAAACAAAAGTAAAAAGAGCATCACAATTAATGGAAAGCCTGTCTTTACAAAATGTTTTGTGATCATTAATCATGACAGAGGAATTAAAGCAAATGTGTCACACTCACAAACAGGAACAAAATCAAATAATTAAATCTAGAATAAAATAAATAGGTTTACTTCTATCAAATGTACAATTTATTACCTTCACCAAGGAGGTAATTTTTAGTTGAGTTTGTGAATATTTGTCCGTCCTTTTGTGTACAGCAGAGCTAGAAAGGTTAGGCAGAGATTTGAATTAAAATTTCTCAGTCCAAGGAACAACCATTTAATTTTGGTGATGATCTACATCATAATCCAGATGCAGGAATTTTTTAAAGGATTCTTTAACATTATTTAGCAGAACAAGCAGTTCTCCCCTAAACCAGAAAGTGGCAGCAGTGACTATTGACAGCTTCAGCATCAGACTCAAAAAAGTCCAAAAGCGTTAAACTGAAGAGACAAACACAGGAAAGGTCAGTCATGCATTGCTCAAAGTCTCGATCTGCTGATAAAACAAGAAAGCAGAGGGAATGAAGGTGAGAGCAGAACAATTACCAGAGGCTGCAGACATTTATGCACTTATGAAAGGATTTAAGGAAAATTGTTACCAAAGGTGTCCCTCGTTTCAAGGAACAATTATACAAATTTTGTAATGATCCAGATCATGTGTGAATTTTAGCAATAGGTATAAGTCCCAATATGGGGCAAAATGTTCTGCTTTGTGGAGGTCTGCGCTCTGAGTGCTTTTCTAGTTTACTCAATTCATCATAAAACAATCAAAACTATGAGATGTGTTATAAAATAATTATTATAATAATTCAATAATTATTGATGGATGCATGGACAGTTTATCAACAATACCAAAAATTGAGAAAAACCCTTAATTTCATATTACTTAACCAGTTATTATCAGTACTTATGCACACCTGAGCTAACCTGTAATAGGTGAAAGTAGCTCCTGCAGATTTTCAGCACCACAAATGTGTGGAAAGCGACATAACAGAGATATAAAGAAAGAAGCTATATCTACTAAACGTCAACAAAAAATAATAAAAACAACATTCTACCACAGAGCAACAGATATTTTCACTCTGTGGAAAAACAGCCTGTTCATATTTATCAGTGCTGCAGTTTGTTACATAAACTAGAATTTCTGTTTTCAAAAAAAAAAAAAAGAAATACTATGTTTCTGATGTTTTTCCTCTTTATTGACTGATGGTTGTCATTAAAAGGACAAGTGGACAATTTGATGGAGATTCACACCACAATGGGACCCCACCTCTAAAATGATAAGTGCTGCTGGACAACACAGGAAAAACCTACAGTGGGAAGCTTCCCTGACTGTAATGGTGTTCCAGAATTATCCATTAAACAGGAAAAAAATATGAAGTGATGCTAGGGTATTTAACAAAAGCAGAATTGTTGGATAGATAGGTTTCTATTACTCTAATTTCTGACCTGAAGATATGTTGATACTCAAAGATTCTCTCTCTCCTTACTATAGTTGCATCTATGCCATCTTCTCATCACAATGACTACTGACAGTTTTGCGTGTGAGTTTGCTCCTGATTTAAGACCTGCTAAATATGCAAAAACTGTACTTCCTATCTGCTTCAGGTTTAAAAAGAATCCTACCAAGGTGGGTAAGTGTTTATATTTACATGTTCACCCCCCAGAATTTTGCCCTTTTTGATGATCAGCATATGATATCTGTATAATATATGTGAAGGCAAACCTACTAACTGGATTGCGCCTGCTGCTCTGCTAATTTCATAGATTAATTCTCACTGCTCCCATTGCCTGGTTAGTAGTGCAGCTTGAGAACTATCAAGTGTTTTTATTCATGCAAGTCTTTAGTCGATCTGCTCATAGGTGTCCAGAGGACCAGAACCAATTAAACTGAGAAAGTTTTTTTTTTTTTTTCTGTCCTCCTTAGATTAAAAAATAACTGCCTGAAAACTTGAGATGTTCAGAAACTGTTGGTTCCTTTAAATCAGGAGAGAAAACATGACAGTTTACTGCAGTAAATGATAAACATATATTTCTATTTGTGTGATGATTTCTCATTTTTTAAGCTTTGTTTAACTAATCTTTCATCCATGTAATGCATTGGATTCTTAAAATCTTTTGTTCTCATTTTAAAGCATGCCAAACAACCGTGTTTAGGATTGCTGTTATACAAAGGAATGTTTCCTTAGAATGAACGGTCCTCTGGAGATCCTCTCCTGTGAAAACATTCAGTCTGTCGGGCTTATTCTGCAGTATTTGTTGTCAGCTGTGGTTTCCTGTCAGGTAACCAAAGGCCTCTTTAATGATACTCTGCACTCCAGGGAGATCGAATTCCCCAAACCCTCCTAACATTTTGTGAAGAATGTTTTTCTCATATATTGTTACAAAAACTAGAGATCTTCTGAACATCTTTTCTCCTCCAAAAAATGCAGCTAGAAAACAGCTTTAATGTTCTGCTGATAATGATTTTAGAATAGGTTTTAGCCAGAGCTGCAATCAATGGATAATAACAAACAAAACAAAACCAAAAATGTTACCAATTTCTGTGTAAGAATCAAGTTTAATCTTATGCTTTCTGACTCTGGTGTGTAAATCTGTCTCTAACACAAATATGGAAAACATTTCCTCCCATCATTTTAATAGATCAACTTGAACTGACATTAAAATGTTTCTTTGTTTTCCTAAACTAAGCCCTGCTTTCAGATAACCAGGCTGATAATATCCCATCAAGAAGGAAAAGGCGATAAAAGAATTTCAAATCTGAAGTAAAGCTTTGAATAAAGGGATGAAGCAGCACAGACACTTAAAGGTAGATCAAATCTAGATGAGCTCAGCTGTTTTCTTTTCCATTTTCCCCTGCCAGGTTTGGATGCTTGGAATACCGATGAGCTTCTACAGACTTTGATTTCACTGTTTCCACTTTTAGTTTCCAGTGTAAAGCTCCCCCTGATGACTGCAGCCTCTGATTAATACAACCACAAACTGGAGGTTAGTGTTTCCACTCTGAAGATCATTGGAGAGGTGGAACGCAGCTGAATGAGACTCTATTATGTGATGTTAACAGATATGGGGAAGATAAAGGTAGTCAATAAGTCTCCTGCAGATCTGCTTTCTGCTGAAACATCAGGAGGCTTCAGACCGGAGGTGTCTCTGAAAGCTTTTTCTAATAGTGGGAGAATGGAAACTAACTTGTGTCCAAGATAACAGATTAAATCAGCTTTACTTAATGAGGTCTGACCAATTGTTCAGTTTGTTCCTCTTAATTATCATTCTACCTGTGGGAGAAAACAGCTGAGAAGGACCCCCTGAACCTGATGCTGCCCTCACATCAGCTCAGCGCTATAACGAGCTTCAGCTCCTGTTAAGCTGTCAGCTCATCCGGCTTCTGTTCCCTCATTGTGTTATTTTTGACCACAAAAAGCCACCATATATGACCTGCTCAGCAGCAAACAGCTGAGACATGGGGAGCAACCTGATGGGGCTCTTCTAGAAGAGAAACGCATTTCTATCTGCTGCATATTTCAGAAATAAGTAGCCCCAGGAGTATTAGCCCAGACGGGGATTCAATTTGAGTGAAATGACTAAAAAAGACTGTTTGCCATGTTATTACGGTCAATTAAAACAAACTCAGCTTGATGTTCTGTAGGATCCAGAACATCACCACAGCCTCTTCAATGAGGACAACAACTTTTCTCTGAGTTAACCATTGCCGAGTTTACCTCATGTGCTTCCCTTTTTTTGCAGCACAGAATCAAAATATGAAACAAGCATCAGCAGCTGTACTCCTCACCAGATGTATCTGTTCTTCAATGTGAAATGCTACTTTGTAAAAGTTTCAGACCAGCTAAGTTTTAAACAAAATCAAAAGCCACAACATGACCAATGGTCAACAGTGGTTCTTATTAGATTCTAAATTAAGTTGTTGCATAAAAAAAAAAAAAAAATCAAATTGTGTTCATACAAGCATCAGTGAGTGACCCTGTTCAAATTCTGAGACATTGTGTTTCTATTCTCTCTTGAAGCCTTTGCTCCTTGTTCCAGTCACTGAAAAGGATTTCTTGTCTGCTGAATGAATCCGATAAAAACTTACCTCCAGAATAACGGTGCAGATGAGTTTAACACACTGGATGATGGCATCCTGGCCTCCTGATATCGTCACCTCCCTCTCTGTAGAGTTGGGGAGGAGGTCACCGGCTACCTGAACCTGGGCGCCTGTAGTCTACACACACACAGGTTTAGGTTTACATGTTTCCACCAGAAGAAAAGAAAAAACTTTAAATATAGTTGCACCATATTATTCCAAATGCTTTTAAGTTAAATAGAAGCTGATGAGGCCCAAAAAGTATTATTGAAACTATTCATCCTGACAGATTCATAAAAAGTGGAGAATCATCTCCGTCTGATTGCAGATTCAGCCTGAAGCTGATGTTCATCTAAAGAACAAACTTCTAAGTGAATCCTGGTGTCTAAATGAGTCGCCGTACCTCTCTGATCTCCTTGATCTTTGATCCACCTTTCCCGATGAGGGAACCACACTGGCTTGCTGGGATGACCAACCGTAGGGTGACCGGAGGTTTGCTGGTCACTGTGCCGTTAGCTACCAGAGCTGCCAAGTCCTGAAAAGAAGGGACAACAGGAAGCAGACAGAGTTAAACCCCAACATTTTCTGTTTGGTTTACTCCTCTCCTGTATTAGAGTTCCTCCAACTGTCAATATGGAAGCAAACCGTATCTTATTAACTCTCAAAGTACTCTGTATCTGGTCAGTTCCAGTCCACTCGGCTGTGAACCCTGCAGTAAATACATGCCAATTATAATCAATAAGAGCAAAATTTCTGTGCGACTCAATTCCATGTTTTGCCTGATGCAGCAACTGAATAACAGTTGAGCTACACAAAAGAAAATAAAAAAAATAAATTATGAAGTACGGACTCCCGTAATGTTAAGTAGAATGGTGTGGTATAACAACTAAATAATTCAAAGTTTGTTCTTTTGGTTATTCGGTTCTTTTTTTTTTTTTTTTTTTTACAGAAAATACCTGACCTTCTGTGTTTTTAGTTCACTCATTCTTAAGGTCTGGTCTATGCTCAGACTGCAAAGTAGTATACCATGAATACAATGTTATCATAATATCAGTTTGAGAAATATTTATTGAAACAGGCTGTTTGGAATGCAAAAATTTTTTACCAATATATTCCAGGTATTATTAACCTACATTTCTTCATGCAAGTATAACATTTAGGCATTTGGACAGAGTCCCAGAGCTCAGATTGGACCCTAATGAAGGTTATAGATTGAAAAACACAGAGAATAAGGTGAAGAAAGATTGATATTTTCGAACTGAAAAGTAAAAGTAAAAGCTATAAATAAAAGATAGAAGATATATTAAGGTTACATTTTGCAGAGACTCCCTTTAATAGATCCAAAGTAAAAGAAGTTGAATTCATTCACCAAATAGGGCAGGGCTAGGAGCAAGAAAAAAGAAAAAGTCTCTTCAGAATAAGTTTAATGTATTTGACTTGACCATGAATGATAATACAGTTTCCTGAATTATGTTCCAGATTAACATAATATCAGTTCTGCACAGAGAGGGACAGAGACAGTCACCGATATCAGTAAATGTCTGCTCTGTGTGATTTTATTCAGCACACGTTCTGCTGATGGGCGACTCAGATGAGGCAGCGCTGCTATTTACATTCCGCCTCAACGTAATTGATTGAACCAATCGTATTAAGAGCTGGTGGTTTAGGCCGTTATTTATTACCTGTGTTAATTAAAGAAAGAGGTTGGACTGGACAGAGGAAGGGAGGAAAGCTGTGTGGGAGATGGGATGTAATGAGGAAAGAGGGGGAGGAGGGAGGCTGGAGACAATTAAAATGTCAGAAAATGACAGAAGTCCTGCTGATTACAAAATGAGTAGATTTAGAAAGAGGAGTCATTTAAGGGTGATAAGACAGAAGGAGATTTTAAGGAATTAAAACTATTGAAGCTAATTCAGCTCCACCCAACCGGTTCTGCAGCAAGCAACACTTGGATTGTTGAGATGTTTTCCACCTTCCATTGCAAAAGCAGCTTTGGGCTGAATTATAGGGTCTTAATTATTAAAGGATGCAACCAATAATTAATTATTATCCTCCTCTTTTGTAAAACTACATACTCAAAGCTGCAGTTGTTGTTGTGAACTAACAGACTGACTGCAGGTCATTTTCTAAATAAGATCTTTGCCTTATTTATGACCTCTTAGACAGCAGGAAGAACAGATTTTCGGTCTGCCCTTTTAAAAAGGAAAAAGCTTCAAGACAACCTGCAGGCCTGTTCATTTCAGCTCTGTTGGAGTAAATATGCCTTTTATTCACTGGAAAGAACAAAACTTCCCGTCTGCATTATTTACAGTTGCTGATGGCAGTTATGGAGGCAAATGCAGAAGAAAACAGGCTGTGATCTGCATTAGAATTAAACCAAAGACAGACAAGCGGGGGAGCTGACCGCTCTATAAACAATAACCTTTCCCTGACCAGACCTCTCTGTGACATGGCAGACAACATGGGTATGCATGTTGATGACCTCACTGACGGACAGGCAGTCTGCTACTGCCGTCCGTCCGTCCATCCGCCCATCTGTCCATGACAATATGATCCAGTCAATATGTATATTGATTTCCTGTTGCTGCAGCTCTAATCTGGATTTCCATGGTCACATCACTCATTGCGATGAAGTGAACTTAGCCTCTTATTTTCTGGACAAAGAGTTTGTAGCTTTTTTTTTTTTAAAGACATCTCGACTGGCAGTCTTTTAGATCTTCTGAAGGTCTTTGAGGGTTTTCCTGTGGATTTTGGTTGCTTTGTTACTCAGTTTCAGTCAAACCCTAAAGTTATTGTTGTTGCTTTAGTTGTTGCCATAAAGAGGATTCAGAGATTGACAGAGAGCAGGTCCAGTGCATTATGTATGCAAAGCAGCAATGAGGTTAAAGTGTATTCATGACCCCCTGCAGGTTTGGAAGATGGGTTGATAATGGAGATGTCATATACCTGTGACATCAAACAGAAATCACTGAATTCAAAGTTCCTCATTTTAAAGATAAATGGTTATGCAGACAGACAGAAAACCAGCCTTAATGTTAGTAGAACCAGAAAAATCTCAGCCCTGCTTTAATCCTTTGATCAGATCCTCTCCTCTTTATAATCTCTCAATTTCACTGTCATCAAGCTTTCATGAAACCTGATCTTTCTTCATCAACCGGTTTTACTACGTCTCTCATTCTCTTTAAAAGGCTTGCTGTCACCTGTTCACTGCTCTATAAAACTGTCCTCTTTATACATTGATCAGCTGCTCTCCTTCTCACACTTCCTGTGCATCTTATTACCCATTAGGATAACTCAGGTAAAAAAATAAAATTTGTCAGCTTTACTTCTGTACCGTGCAACCTGATCAGGGTTGTTTCACTGGTTTTTTCAGCACCTCTAAAGGACAGACGGAAGATTTCTTGAAGGAATTCTCCCAAATGCATCCTAAAACCAAGTATGCTCTGAATCTGAAGGTGGAGGACATTTTGATTGAGCAAGTTCTGATCAAACACCTCCAAACCAGCCTTTGCTAATGTTTATGGTCAGTATCATTATAATTATTGTAACAGAACCACAGGACCAGCCAGGTTTATTCAACACTTCTGGAGTTCTGGATCCCTGCACAGATACGGTAAGCCAGGAAGGTCAATTTAGTTACAGCTTTAAAAACTCACCTATATTTGTCACAACATAATTAAATTCCAAAATAAAATATAAAGAATACATTTAATTAATACAGCTCATTTCAAAAGCACTAATACCCGTTAGAGTTTTGTACATCTGTCAAAACTAAAAATTAATTCTATTTTATTGAAGGTATTTTCCATTTACAGTCTGAGGTTGTTGCCCATTTGTCAATACTAAAACCAGCTCAGTCCCTTCCTTTAACTCGAACGTGCTTCCCTGTCCCACACCGTAAGGCTGCCCCCAACGTGTTTCACCATATAGAGGTGACTTCAGATGGATTTGTAGAGTCTGATCTCCTGCTCTTCTTCACATATTGACACTTCAGGCAAAAAAAAATAAAATTTAACGTTGGTCTCTTCTGAGTAGAGCCCCAAAAGACTGCAGGCTCAATTGATTTCGTTTAAGGATTTCAACATAAATACATCTGGAAAAAAACAAAAAAAAACACGCTGTATTTTTTTTAGATTTCTTTGATAAAAAAAAAAAAAAAGCTGCTACATTCATTTTTGACATTTCTGAATTATTTTGTAATCTCATAAAATCATAATCAACTACACCAATAGAGTTCAAAGACAATTATTATTTTGGAAAGCTCTATAATTAAATGAACATTTTAAAAAGTTTCCCAATTTCTAAAGAATTCTGGTTACCCACTGACCTTATGAGTTGTTTTCTGACAGACACCGTGAAAAGATACTTTAACAACAAAAATGCTAAGTTTCTACTTTTTTTTTGGCAACTCAAATTTGTTTGGTTTTATTTTGAATTAAGGATGCTGAGGTTCGAGCCATAGAGCCACAGTTTGTTTATTAGGATCTTAAAGGCATAAAATGGTGACTAAGCATGAATCTCTTCCATCTAACTTGTTGGTTTTTAATGTTCTGTACATGGATCCATCCATTTGTTGGGTCAAATGGTCCGAGTAAATCCAAACGATCAAAAATGGGCAGATGTCGCCCTCTCCATGCTGTTAAAGTGTAAGTGTGTGTGTTCAGTGTGTACCTCCTCCAGTTTGAAGGTGATCATGGTGAAAGCTCGGAACACGCAGTCCGTCGGACCTGTGATGGTGATGATCCTCTCTGGACAGGAACCCTCTGAGATGTTGATCCTGGCACCGCTCTGTTGGGTTGGGCAGAGATGGAGGAATGGGGGGAGGGGGGTGGATTAGGACAATTTATTGGTTTTTGGGAAGTGGGAGACGAGAGGGCAAAGAACGGAGAGGTAGGGAAGGAGACAGGAGATGATGATAGTTATGCAAGGAAAAGGAGTCGCAGTACAGGACCAGAGTTGTGAGTGATGGAGGGGTGGATGTAGGTTAATGGATACATGGAAGAGAGAAAAACATTAGTGGGAGGAAAGGAAATATGAGAAGAAACAGAGGAGAAGCACTACTTCTCCCTCACTACCTAAGAGACACTCTTCCATGATGCTGGAACAGAGAGGGACTCCAAGGAGGCTGGAAAAGGGATTTAAGGATGAAGAGGAAGAGAGGGGGGGAATCATCAAGGAAGATTTAAATAAAGGGAGGACAATGGACAAACATGTGACTGATTCCCAGGAACAGGAGAGAACAAATTTATTAAAGGAAGAGGAGAAGGAAGAATGAATGGAGAGGGAGGGGGCAAGGGAAAGGATCAAGAGAGGAGGAGAGAGACAAGGCAGTGCAAATATTTGAGGAGAAATAAGAGAAGGTGAAGATATAGAAAAGGTGCAGTAATAACCGTCTGGAGGATGATGAAAGAGCCAAAAGAAGGAAATTGAAGTGCCAGTTGGGAAATTATAGATAAACAGAGTCGATTACAATTTATGGGAGGATTAAATTCCCTCTGACGATCCTCTTTGATCTGGAGGACAAGTTCTGGTCTGGTTCGGTCAAAGTCAGAGACTGAAAGCAACCGGAGGCGAGTCTACGCTGTAAAGTACAACAGTATGCACATATATCTGTATAATCAGAGATGGCAAAAGTACTCACTTTCCGTACTTGAGTAAAAGTACAGATACTTGTGTTAAAAAATTACTCTGGTAAAAGTGGAAGTACTGATTAAACTTCTTTACTCAAGTAAAAGTAACAAAGTACAGGCTTGAAAATTTACTTAAAGTATAAAAGTAAAAGTAGAAACCACTTTTTTCATGCCGTTGCCTACATTTTAAATGGATGTCTGCNGAGCATGTTACAGAGGTCCAAATACTACAATGTTTGCCCAGTAACGCAGGACAAACACACAACAAGGCTGAGGAGTTAACCTTTCATCTAGATGCTGGTGAAGATTCTCAGTCATCCAGGTCATAGTCATTCCAACAAAGTTAAAAAACAAACCACTGGACTTTGTTTCCAAGTTTGAAGATGTTCCGCCTCCCATCCAGGAAGCTTTTTCATTTCAAAATGTCAGAAATAGGGTTGAGTATAGAGTGGTGTATGCAGTTCAATGCAGTGAGGAATGCTCTGATCTTTACATTAGAGAAACCAAATAACCTCTCCACAGACGCACGGCCAAACACAGAAGAGGAACCTCCTCTGGGCAAGACTCGGCTATACAGCAACACCTTATGGACAAAGGACATTCTTTTGAGGACCAGACTGTTCAAGTTTTGGACAAAGAAAACAGGTGGTTTGAGAGGGGCGTGAATGAAGCCATGTTAAGAAAGAAATAAAACAACATTAGAGGGGTTGGACTCATGTTTCAGCTTTCAAAACCCTACAATGCTGCAATAGAGTTGATTCCTTCTCTCTATCATCACAACCCCCACCCCCTTACAGGGGAATAGAAGACATTGCCCGTTCAGCCAGGCCAACAACTCCCCCAACGACCCCTTTAAGAGACATAGACAGGTATCAGGTATTGCCGGCTAACAAAGAACCCAAACGACCCCCATTCCAAAAGGGCGAAGCCGATCGTCCAGTTCAATTTGCATATTTTCTAAGCCTAAACAAGGCTTTGTTTTTGGTCCACTCAATAAAGCCTCGAACTCAACGCCAATTCAGACAGACTTTGAATTGAAAAAGCTTCCTGGATGTGAAGTGAAACATCCTTTAACTTCGAAATATATTCTAGTGGATTGTTTTTTTTTTTTTTTTACTTTTATAGAATTACATCTAGATATTTTACATTTCCTGAAAATGCTTCCTAAATACAACAAATATGACCAAAGCCAGAGCAGAAAGGCTGTGAGTTCATCAGTCAGGTTTAACTGGACATTTTCATACTTTGGACAAACCGGACCTTTTGTACAGTAAGTTTGTGAACCCGGCATCAGGTCGTCTTAGCGTGCGATACACAAGCATGACCTATTTATCAGATACATCAACCCTAATGGTTTCCAACAGAGTGCTGTTTTTAAAACACTAGAGACACTCTTACGGTGTTTTAAAGTCTGTTTACTGCTGATCGAACAGAAGAAATGGAAACCATTTCACCCACAGTGGTCCTTCTAGCCACCCTTCCATGAATTATTCTACTAACTCCTGATCTCATTACCTCCTACCTTTCTTTTTCCTGTCCTCATCTTCCCTTCATTCATCTGCTTTTGCCCCTCCTGTATTTCCTGTCTTCATAAAATCAATCCCTCTCTACTGAAGATTTTCCCTCTCTTCATTGCAGAGAGGAGTTGAATTTCAAGTAGCTTTGTAGAAAACATTTGGTTTGACCTAAAGGATGGTGTTCAGTGTGGAGATGTGTTTGTGTTGTTCCTACAGAAGCCTTGAAAGGCAAGAAAAAAAAATCTGAAGTATTTTCAAATGTCTTTTTGTTGAACTCTGGCCCAAAAGGCAGGTGATGTTTTTGGAAGCTTATTTTCTAAGTCAAATGAAATTAAGCTTTCCTAAAGATTGTGACTGGAAAACAGGAGCTTATAATTTTTTTTAAGTTTAGTTCATTATTTTATTTTAATTTTTTTCCTCCCACTGAAGCCGTCAGATTCATTCTCTAAACTCTGGCAGGTTGAGAGTCTCAGCTTTTTTTCCACTTGCCTTTCAGGGCATCCATATAAATATCCCACTGCCACTAGTTGGACATTCAAGACAAGAATCTGCTTGTCCTTGTGATCTGCTCTGCTTTACGTTTCAAACAGATATGTTTATTTTCCACTAATTAAAAGGAGAATTCTGAATAATTTCTCATTGGGTTTCATTCGTGATAAATTCCTAAAAAACCCACACAAAAAACTTTTCTGACAGTATTTCCTCATGAGTGACACACCTTTAGTTTGGTGCCGAATGCTCATCTCGTTGAATGCAGACAGTTTCCATGACAACCTTCAGTTCAGAAGTGTTAAGTGTGAATTAAATATGTTTCAATCAATGATCCAAATATGAGAAATAAAGCAGCGATAAGTTTTAACTTTATGTTGGTCCCATTTATTTCCAAGAACACCAGGATGGAAAACGTTAAGCATAAACAGCTATTCAATGACTTTTAAGATAACTTTTACTGAAAATATATAAACTTACGAGTTTTAGAAGACCTTTATCTAAGCTAGCTTCTACTGACTCTTAATCTGAAACAAATACTTGGTGCAAAGCAAAACAAATACATAAAATCTAATCCTTGGAGTGGAATTTGGTTGCTACCTTTCTGTCATTCAGAATATCAGGGTTAAAATTAGTACAACATAGATTAAACATTTCTATCAAAATCATTCCCTTTTCAAAAATTATACATCAACAGAAGGTGTTACAGAAAATAAGTATAAATTTTACTGAACACCATCTTATTCCACATGTTTGTGGGCGGAATCGAAGCAGATCAGCCTCCAAAAAACACCTTTTTCTCCTGACAGACTGAGGAAAAGTGGAAATCATCTCTTTCTAATTCCAGATTCAGTGTTTATTTGATGATCATCTAAAGAAATAAACACTGATAGATGCTTAGCGTCTAAATGAGTTGCTGCACTGATCTTCAGCAGAAGTTCTGCACAACTGTTGAGCTCTGGGAGTTGCAGACCATGAATACAGAGGAAGGTCTGATACATTAATGATAAAGCATCTACTGCTCTCCGCTCAGTCTTAACAGCTCATTCACAAAACAAGTGGCACCAATGATGGACCTGAGCTGTCAAAGAGATGTAGTTTAGCACTCCTCCAATAGACCCCAGCTTTCCTTTCCCAAACTTACTGGATCATAAGCCCCAATCAGCAGAGGGAGGGAGAGAAAAAAACAAAAAACCAAAATGACATTATAGAAGTTTTACTAAACAAGCTGCAGGATTCAATTAAAAGAACAAACCAAAACCTTTAAAAATCCTAGCTACAGCTTTTTTTCATCAAATCCATTCATTTTTCTAAAATCATACAGTACTGGGAAATAAAATTATGAATTCTAATGTGGAAAAAATATTGTGTATAATTAATTGTTTTATAAATTTGTCTGGTCCTAAATATATAAATATTTACTTCTAGTTATGAAGCAACATTAACACAGAACCGTAGGTTAAAGCTGAGTGAGACAAAGTTCAGGCATTTCCAGGTCCTAGTAGCTCTGAGCTGAGGAATGTCTTCTTCTCATTGTTACATTTCTCAGATTTTAGCCAAAAGTAGTAAAACAGAAGTAAAACCAGCGTAAACATTACCCAAGCTTTTTAACCTTGGTGCCGATTAAAGAAAGCAAAGGGGCTCAAAAGCCAAGCAGAGGTTTCTGATTTATTTCTGGATTGGCAAATTAAATGTTTGCCAAGTTAAGTATTAGCAGACCTGGCATCCAACCTTAGATCGCCCTGGATGGACTCAGTGTTTCCTCCTTTGGATAAACAACAATAGAAAGATGAATGCTGCCGATTCAGAGATGAGAACAGATTATGCAGCCTTGAAATGAGGTGAAACTATTTAAAAAGCTGAGGAAGTTTAGCAGGTGTGAAATTAAGTAATTACTTCCCAAATCACAGGAAGGTCTCAAGTCAAGAATGGCAAGTCCCAAGTCACTTAATGAGCTACACCTGAACAGTTAATCATGGGAGGAAACAAACTGTTCTGATTAATATTATATATTTTTGTTTATATTTATACATTTGTGACTTTAAAGATAGCATAAAGTTATTACATGCAGGACACCCAACTCCAAGTAATTAACGAGTCATTATGAGCTATACATGAGCTATTAATAAGGTACAGAAACAACTGGTGCAGA